ACACAGACAACCTCTCGTCAATATGCGCTTTTCGCATTGCATTGCTGCAAAAAACGCATAAAAATGCATTTCTGTGCTGAACTTCTAATGCATGTCTTACTTAACACTATCTTCTGTTTCGTTAGTCCGTTCTTTAGGCGTGCAGTTACATTCTTACGCGTTTTTGCGCATGAATGATATGCAAAAACGTATATTGTGGGCGGTGGCCTGTGTATTTATTTTTATGCGCTTTTGCATATATGTAAATTGCAAAAACGCATATTGGGAAGAGGCTGTGTGTGTGTCTGTGTGTTCGCACTTTTTGTCACCCACTTTCAACTCAAGAACCACAAAAGCTAGAAGGCTGAAACTTTGGAAGTATGTGCCCATACCGTGCGCGACCCTCCTGTTTTAATTTCATCCCCCTCGGACGCCTGGCTGCCGTGTACGGACGCTTTAAAAAAATATGCAAATTTTTTGGCGGGAAAACGATCTCGGGAATCACATGAGTTAAGGGGCTGAAACTTTGTAGGGATATTCCCTGTGCATGTACTAGCAAGAGATTTCTAATTCAGCCTCCAGCTATACGTGGTACTCACGTAAGGGCATATGAAAATTTCTGCAGAAAAATTACTAACTCGGCAAGCAGAAGAGCTGGAAGGCTGAAACTTCAGGCAGATGTTCCCTGTCCACATGCAGTTTAAAAATGTCAAATTTAGCTTTCCGAGCATGTGGAGTACACAAGTACGGGTATGTGAAGGTTTTGGCGGGAAAATTGCTAACTCGGTAACCAGGAAAGCTAGAAAGCTGAAATTTTGAGTGAGTGTTCCCTGTCCAAGTACAACACAAATATTTCAAATTCAGCTCCAAGCTATGAGTGGTACTCATGTAGGGGGTAAGAAAGTTTCTGCGGGAAAATTCTAACTCAGGAACCAGAAAAGCTAGAAAGTTGAAGTTTTGGGGGGAAGTTCCCTGTCCAATTACAACTTAAACATTTCAAATTTAGCCTTACGTAAGAATCACGCATAGGTATGCGTGGTTCTTACCTACGTGCACTTAAAAGTTTTGACGAAAAAATTTCCCACAGAACAAGTGAGTTACTTTTAAAGAACGACTGTTAAATGGAAATTATACATTACTTTGCAAAATTTATGGTGATTTGTGCTAGTGACCGCAAAAGGTAGATGTAAAGCAAAAGCCATTCGTACAGTTAATGACTTGAGTAATTCAAGCCCGGTGCAAAAACACATGATCGCACGGGCCCACTCGGTGCGTTCCAGCCTGAGTTTTTTTAAACGTCTGTGTGTTTGTATGTTATGTGCGTGCCTGTGTGTTTACTGCCCGTATACAACGATTTCCAGATTTAAGAAAACGATGAAGCTAAAATTTTAGCAACATTTAGTTCACCATTGTAGCTAGCCGCTCAGACGCAGAGTGAACACTCACGCTCTCACACTTCCCACGAACGGACAAGTCAAACGTATTTTTTTGCAGAAAGCGTGTGGATGTCTCTTTTCCATGTACTGGTCAGCATACGATGGGCTTTCACGCATGTCACGTGCTCCGTGTTCGGACACAACAAATTTCAGTTTGCAGAGCCCCTGCATACTACTCTTACTGTAATGTCAGAATTTGAAATTTTAACAGGTTATACAGTGCACAATAACCAACTTAGTCGATGTGGAAGAAAGAACAATAAATAGCAGCGCGCACCAGACTAGCTGGTGCGATCATGCGTTTTGTGCAATTTGTCCACCAAACGATTGCCTGTTAATGATTTTCATTGCTTTGTGCTTTAGTGTGTGCAAAAGTATTTGAAGCGTTGAAAAATAATTAAAAATTTCACATACTGACGAACGAAACCTTACGCACCGGCACTACCGCAAAACTGCAGCTTCTTGGCTTTTATGGTTCCTGAGATAATACCTTTCCCGCCAAAATTTTCACGGGGTCATAGCTGATACCCGCAAGCGCAAGAACGCTGCATTTGATTTTGCAAGGTCGTACGTGGGCAAGGGGTCATCGCCCTAAAATTTCAGCCCCCTAGATTCATTGGTTCCCGAGGCAATAATTTACCCGCCAAAATCTTCATGGGGCCGTAGGTGATATGCGAGAGCGCGGAAGTGCTGAATTTGAGTTTGCAAGGTCGTACGTGGACAAGGGATCGTCACCCTAAAAAATTCAGCTTCTTGGCTTTTATGGTTCCTGAAATAATAATTTACCCGCCAAAATTTTTGCGGGGCCGTAGGTGATACCCGAGAGCACGGGAACGCTGAATTAGAGTTTGCAAGGTTATACGTGGACAACGGGTCATCACCCTAAAATTTCAGTTTCGTAGATTTTGTTGTTCCCGGGACAATAATTTACCCACCAAAATTTTTACGAAGCCGTAGCTGATACCCACGAGCGCGAGAACACTGCATTTGAATTTGCTAAGTCGTACGTGGCAGGGGGTCATTGCCCTAAAATCTCAGCCTCCTAGATTCCGTGGTTCCCGAGGTAATAATTTACACGCCAAAATTTTCACGGGGCCGTAAGCGATATTCGAGTGCAAGGTCGTGTGTGGACAAGGGATCATTACCCTAAAATTTCGGCTTCGTAAATTTTGTAGTCCCCGAGACAATAATTTACCCGCCAAAACTTACACCGCTCGTGTTATCCGCGGGCAAGAGAAGGCTAAATTTAAATTTTCTGAATCGCATTTGAGCAGGGGATATGCTCGCAAAATTTCAGTCTTCCAGCTTCTTTTGGTTCCAGTGATAATAATTTTATCCACCCAAACTTTCATGGGGCCGTACATGTTACCCGCAGGTAGAGGAAAGCTGAATTTATATTTGCGGGATCACAAGTGGATGGGGAACGTCACCCTAAATTTTCATCTTCCTAGTTCTTGTGGTTCCTAAGTTGAAAGTTGCGGACAAGTTGTTGCGAACACACAAACATACACACACACACACAGACAACCCCGTGTCAATATGCGTTTTTTACTACTGTTACACAGCACAAAACGCATAACGAGAACATTTCTAAAATGAGCAAACGTATCAAACAGTGAAGCAGTGAACTTTCTTACTGTTAACGATCATACTGCTGCACT